CTTGTTACTAAAAGCGAGGCACTTGTTCCTAGTAGCTTCTTGTTACTACTAGTAAGGCACTTGTTACTAAAAGCGAGGCACTTGTTCCTAGTAGCTTCTTGTTATGTTTGTTTCGTGCTGCAGGTACCAAATGGAGCACCCTGAGAATAAGCCTCAGCAATACATGAAGGCGTGCCCAATGTGATTCCGACTAGGGCCAACCGGCAAGAGTGGCAAGTGGCTTGCGCTCCCAGGTTGAGCTATCCAAAAAGGAAGGTGAACTTTATGGTCTTGGTTTTCGGCCGAGCTGCTTGGCAAGAGCTAGGTAGCAGCTAGCAGCTTGGTAGCTTGAGCAGCTTGTTTGCGAGCTTCATGAGCTGTGCCTCGAGGCTCCGATGGCCTCGAGTGTTTAGTGGTTGAGGAGAGGGCGAGAGGCTGATACGGTGACGTCGGCTGGCCAAACGCAAACCTTCAGAGTTTGAACTTCGGAGCGCAATGGCCTCCAACCTACTAGCGACAGCCTCCAACCTACTTGCGATGGCCTCCAGCCTACTTGCAATGGCCTCCAACCTACTAGCGACGGCCTCCAACCTAATAGCAAACTATATTAGACATTTTTTCATTTTCTTTTTCTTTGTTTCTGCGGCTGGATGAGACGCACAAATCAAAAGAAGTGCACTATCACAGTGCACTAAACAGCTGAGACCGGCTGTGAACACGTTTGGCTCAAGAAAACAAGACCGCTTTCTGTCAACCATGGGTTATGAGCCCAACGGGGTCTGAGCTTGACAGCTCCCAGAGCTCGTGTGGTCGTGTGGGACTCACGCCATGACATCTTTGCTGAGCAGGAGGAGATCTTCAAGCAAGGAGCGGCAACAAGCGGCGGACGAGCGGCAGACCCAGGCACAGAGAACACAGAGTGCGGAGCCAAGCTCGAGGAGACCGGCCTTGGTGAAGAGCACGAGACACCACGGTCGAGCAGACTCCAAGGACGGAGCCGAGGGCTGCTGTGACTGATGGGGGCCAAGCTATGTTGAAACCTCCTCCAGGGGCCTTGTCTCTGGGCGCAGCCGGTCTTGGACAAGGTCAGCTTCGGGATCAACTGCGTGGAGGTTGGGCGATGCTTCAAGGACCCTATCCACAAGGCTACCCCGTTGTGTCTGCCGCCCGGGTGCTCAAGGTCAAATGCCTATTCTCCGAATACGTCGTGAACGTGAGGGTGAACAGTTGGTGGAAGCCGCTTCATGCCAATCGAGGGTGGATCTCAACAAGTTGAACGAGAACGCGAACAAGGGGGACCTTAATGCGGTCGTGAACAGCTGTGTCGAGCTCTATGTCGAGGCAACAATCGCCTACTAATCCTGGTCTGCGGAAAAGATCAAAAAGACCATGACTAACAGCGTTTTGCTGAAGGTGTGCGACAGCTGCTTGGGTGGCAATCCGCTTTCAGATGCTTCGTGCAAGACGGCGGCGGAGAATGGTGGAGGATCGCAAGGGGATGGGAAGCCACAGGTATTGGAATCTGGTGGACCAAGGCAGCCTCTAGGTGATGGGACACGTGCAGTTCCAACCTCTTCGTCGACGACAACAAATGTCGGGCGTTGAGGATGGCTACCAAGTAGCCGAGGACAGCTGTTGCACGGTCCCGGACAACATCAAGTCTGAGGCCGTGGTGTCGCGCAAGTTGAGTGCGACGCATTTGTTGTTCACCCTCTTCGTCAAGTTTCAACCTGGCGGACAGGGTGAGAGGGTCATACGGGCTCCATGGTGGAGATGGTGCAGAGATGGTGGAACCGGGCTCAGGAGTTGGCGGTGATGTTGCCAGACCCCATCATCTTGACTCAATCTCGACTCAACCCTCAAACACCGTTCCCAAATCACAAACACATGCAGGCGGTATATCGGCTGTTGGTATGTCGACAACAACTATACCAGACCAAGTCTGGACTCGATCATGACCTTTGCGGAGCTGCTGCAGGCCGAGACCGAAGAGCAGGCGTTAGGAGCTGGAGGCGCAGGAACTGGGGGAACGGGAAAGACGTCCGTTCCTTTTGTGAAGGTGGCGGCCTTGGGTACTTCAACGACGGCGACGCAGGAGTCCAAGAACGTGGGGTTTGAGGGGTGACTGCTTGGCTTCGGCTTTCCCGAAGCGTTGCTGTCCGCGTGTGAAAGAGGAGCCTGGCCCAGGGAGGCAAATCGCAACCGGCCTCTCCGGAGAAGCTCAAGTCCAAGAAGGCTTGAAGGAGGAACAATGTGGTGGTCCGAAGAAGAAGACTGCGGCGGACTCCGTAGGTGCCATTCAGAACCTGGTTGGAGAGGCGGCGGCGCTGTTGAAATGCTTGGCGAGTGCGAAGATCAAGGCCATCGCTACGGTTCCGATTGTGTGTTCTTTTTTTCTAATAGCAATGGCCTCAGTTACACCCTCCAACCTACTAGCAAACTATATTTATTTGACCAGTCTTCCTTCACTGTTTTCATGGTTTCTATTAGCAGTGGCCTCCAACCTACTAGCGATGGCCTCCAACCTACTAGCGAGGGCCTCCGCCCTAACAGCAGCCTCCGACGTAATAGCGAACATTTTTCGTTTCTAGTAGCAATGGCCTCCAATTGTGACAGCCCCCAACCTAATAGCGGCAAACTGTACCAGGCCTTTCTTCTTCTTTGTTCTTTGTTTCTAATAGGAATGGCCTCCAACCTACTAGCGATGGAATAGCAAACAATTTTAAATTTCTTACCTTTTGGATTCGTTGTTGTAATGGCAATGGCCTCCAACCTACTAGCGACGGCCTCCAACCTAATAGCAAACCATATTAAACGTTTCTTCTTGTTATTGTTTCTTTCTTTTGTAGCAATGGCCTCAGCCTACTAGTGACGGCCTCCAACCTAATAGCAAACTATATTAAATGTTTCCTTCTTGTCCTTTTTTTGTTTCTAATAGCACTGGTTTTCAACCTGCTGGCTATGGCCTTCAAGCTAGTAGCAAACTATTTTAGGCCTTTCTTCGTGTTTTGTTTCTTTGTGGCTTCCAACCTAGAAGCGACGGACTCCAACCTAATAGGAAACTATATTGAACCGTTCTTCCTTTTCTTTTTCTTTCTTTCTTTCTAAAAGCAATGGCCTCCAACCTACTAGCGACGGCCTCCAACCTAATAGCAAATTATAGTACACCTTTCTTCCTTTTCTTTTGATCTAGTAGCAATGGCCTCCAACCTACTAGCGATGACCTCCAAGCTAGTCGCAATCTATATTTGGAATTTATATCTTTTCAATTTTGTTCGTTTACGATAAGCCTCCAACATAATAGCGCATTATATTGGACCGTTATTCTTTCTTCGTTTCTAGTAGCAATGGCCTCCAACCTACGAACATATACATTAGACTTTTCTTCTTTTTCCCTTTCTTTGTTTCTAATAGCATTGGCCTCCAAACTACTGGCGACGGCTTTATATTAAACCTTTCTGCGCGTTCTTTTTTGTTTCTATCACCACCGACTAGCGACGGCTTCAACCTAATAGCAAACTATATTGGACCAAGCATCTTTTTCGTTTCTGATAGCAATGGCGTCCAACCTACTAGCGGCGGCCCCCACCTAACGGCAATCTATATTAGACCATTCTTGCACCCTTTTCTTTGTTCTTTGTTTCTAGTAGCAATGGTCTTTAACCTACTAGCAATGGCCTCAAGCCTACTAGCGACGGCCCGCTAACCTAACAGCAAACTCTTTTAGATGTTTCTTTCTTTTCTTTGTTCCTTGCTTCTAAAAGGAATGGCCTCCAACCTACTAGCGATTGCCTTTTTCATCTGATAGCAAACTACATTAGACCTCTCTTCCTTTTCTTTTTTGTTTCTACGCCTCCAACCAACCTAATAGCAAACCATTGTAGCGCTTCCTTCCCCTTCCTTTGTGTTTGCTTCCGATAGCAATGGCCTCTGCAACGGCTTCCAACCGAATAGCAGCTATATTAGTCCTTTCTTCCTTATCTTTTTTCTTTGTTTCTAAAAGCAATGGCCTCCATTCTACTAGCGATGGCAAACCTAATAGCAACATACAATTGACCATTCTTCCTTTTCCTATTTGTTTCTTTCTAATGGCAATGACCTCCAACCTACTAGAGATGGCCATATTAGAGATTGCATCATGTATTCGGTTGTTTCTATAGCAATGGCATCCAATCTACTTGGGCCTCAGGCCTAATAGCAAAACTATATTAGACCCTTTTTCATTTTCATTTTTCCAACCTACTAGCAAATACTATTCTACTAGCGATGGCCTCCAACCTACTAGCGATGGCCTCCAACCTAAACGCAAACTATCTTAAAACTGTTGTCTTTTTCTTTTTTACTTCCTTTCGACAGAAATAGCCATGGCTTCCAACCTACTAGCGGAGGCCTCCAACCTACTTAGTGATGGCCTCCAGCCTACTTAGTGATAGCCTCCAACCTAGTAGCAAACTATATTTGATTCTTTTTTGTTTCCTTTTTTCTTTGTCTAATAACGATGGCCTCCAACCTAATAGCGATGGCCGCTTAACGCAAATCTTCAGAGTTTGACGCTGCACTTGCCAGTGAAGGATTTGGTTCCGTTTTTTCGGTTTTCCTAGGCTGTGCCCTTTTCATCTTCTGACTCCACAATGCAGTGATTGTTTTCCGCCATCGACGTAGCGAATTATTGTCTTCAGAAACAATAAGCTACTAGGAACAAGTGCATCGCTACTAGTAACAAGTGCCTTACTAGTAGCAACAAGGACGCTATTAGAAACAATAATTTATGAATCAATTTTACTGCCTGCCATTGCACGTGAGGCACGGCCCTTCTGTCATTGCAAAGCCCTTGGCAACAAAGCGACTGAACGGCGTAAACAAAAAACTTCCAACAGTCCATCCCCTTAACCAAGCAGGACAAGAAACAACACCTGAAAACTAATCAGATCTCAGTAGAGTCCTCAGCAACACTCTTGAAATGCTTTGAGTCATGACGGTCAGCGTGCCCAGTGGTTGAGCGCCGACACCCGTTCCTAAAGATCCGTGCATTCCGGCTTCAACACTTTCTCGACCTCACCAAACGGCCCCGGCCACACCACTCCCTGCCCTTCTTGGGTAGGCAAACGTCAAGTTCGAAATCCAGAAGCGAAGCAGAGCGAAGCAGAGCGAAGCAGAGCGAAGCAGAGAGACGAGCCCAGCCTGTTCCCAACTCCCCCCGGCGGTCTCGGCGTTGTCTTTCCCACAGCAAGAGGCGTGGAGGCCAGGGAAGGTGGGCAAGGATGAGGTTTCCACCCTGATGTCCCAGGCGCCGCCCCGCTAAGCTTGGGCTAAAACAGCATTCAAAGCAAGATTAATTACAAGTACAAAAGAACATTAACAGCATAGACCTCAAACCATTTCAGCAGGAATCTTTGCGTCAACTCCTTGAATTCCAATGTTGGTGGGCGAATAGTTATATAAATATTGCCTCCAGCTGTTTGGGAACGGTAAACAACACAATTTTCGAACAGGATGATATCAAGTTTGAAGCGGGCTGTCACATTCACCACAAGATAGCGTAGCGGCGCTGTGAGCGATCGGTGTTGGACCTCGAGGGCATGTGTCAAGAGTTCCATGAGGGTTTATTTTGTGTTTAGACAGGAATTGGCAGTGTGTTCTTATCTCATTTTTACCATCATCACGAAAGGTAGCCTCGGCTACCTAAGTTCTCCTTGCTTTAGCAAAATGATGTAGAGGTGGTGGAAGTCTACACTGCTTGAATTCGATGATTCAAGTATTTATTCAGGGGCTTATGCCCAACAGCGGGCGAGCAGGGTGTTCAGTGGAGAAAGGCAGGTGGAGGGGCAAGAGGAAAGGGTGGGTGTTGTGGTTGTGGTTGTTGTTGTTGTTGTTGTTGTTGTGGTTGTTGCCAGACACAGCAAATGCAAATAATGCAAGGCAACTTGGACGGCATAACTCGCACCTAGGGGCAATCTTGAGCCATCTTGAAGGAAGGGGTACTTTTACAAGCATGTTACAAAAACAGTTTGAACATCATTACTTTTTCAAAAACAGTTTTCTTAAACACGCTGGGTTTTTCAATCGATGTTTTCTTGCGTGCTTTTTGGACGGTCTCCTGGCCCCATGTTGATCTCAATCCCGGCGCAGCCCCAGCTCCAGAGCACACTGAACAAAATGTCACATGTCAATCCGTGAGAAATGTCTCCTCATCCTTTTCTCCCACTTGTGATCGGCAGTTTGTTTGCCGCCTTGTCTGAGTTGTTTCCCGTGTCTCCATCCGTGCCTCCCCATGTCTCCCTGTACTCTTCTTCTTCGGATTCCCCGCTGTAGTTGCCTTCCCGCATATCTCCGTCTAACCTCCGTGTCAAGGGGGGTAGCCTTCGTGATCAGAACAAGAAGCAGGTTCAATGAACATTGCGGTCAGATTTCCAAAACATTGCGTTGATGAGTCAATGAAGCTTTGCACTTTACACCTATGTTTTCCTTCTGGACCCATTCACGGAGAGGTGTTTGTTGGATGCGCTCGCAGTCACTGGAATCACTGGAAGCTCTCATGGATTTGTTTGTGCATTGTTTGATTTTTTTGGTCTCAGATGTTTTCTTTTAGAGTTAGCTACTATTTGGTGTCTAGGCCGGTGTAATTTGTTTTTCACAAGAACACCTATAGACCTTGAATCCTACACAATGTTCTGGACATTTGCGGAGAGCCAGCTGCAAAACAACTATTGTGAGAGAAGTGGCAGGCCTATTGATAAGAAGTATCAGAAAGGCCAAGGGGCCAAACCGTGAACCAGCAAAGGCCTTTGGTGAGTTCAGCGTTGCAGCAAAAACAGATGGGGATAGCAATGGCAACATGGTTGATAAACCACCAGCAGTTCATCAAATGGGACTCTCTAAAACTGACTTGATTGTGTGGCTTGGATTAAAGGGGTGTCTACGGCCCACGTGCTCATGAAGGAAGTTAACCACCAACACTTCTTTACATTTGGGTGAATTTTCGAGGCTGTTGCGGCTCGGATTAACTAGGGGAGGTGTATTTATCATTATATCAAGATCATTTGTAGAAAGGTTTTTACATCATAAAATCCAAGTGTTTAGTCAGTTTGACATTTGAAAACCGTACTGTGGCAAAATAATTGAACATCAGAGCATGACAGATTGTTTTTTAACGCCCGGCAAACACATGGTAAAAGAAACAAACATAGTAGTCTTGAGTTTCAAAAAAAATGGTGACGAGATAGAACAATGCCCAACTGTGCATTAGGAAATTGCTAACAAAAAAGTTGCATATATTCAACATTTTGGAAGTCGAGAACCACCAGTTCAGGAGGAATTGGTGACGCTATGACTGAGAAACCTAAAACAACTTTATGATCAAGGGTGAATTGTCCGGCACAAAATGTTGGGGAAGGGTGCAAGATAGCATTTGTACACCCAAGTGATAAAGTATCACTGTTTTTAGAGGGATACGCCTTGACAATTACTTAGTTTGTTTGATTCTTGTTGCCCCAATATTTGGCAAAAAACACATTTTGGTAGTTGCCCACACACTGGAGGATAAGGTTTGATGATATGTTTAAGCAATGCTCGCGATTGCTCACACTGCGCAAAGAAATTGAGACACACTATGCATTATAGTGACCAATATGTTGGACAATTTGTTATCACATTCAATATAAAAAGGCTTTGCTGCTATCAAGAGTACCAAGTTTCTAGGTTCTAGATTTCTCCAGCCTCGTACACCTCCGAACAAACATTCACCAAATCTCCAGATTTAAACTCCAAACTCGGCCAATCTTTGGCTTACTAGTAACAAGTGCATCGCTACTAGTAACAAGTGCCTTACTAGTAGTAACAAGAAGCTAC